AAAGCTAGCTTTAGTCTTTTGTTAAGAGTTATGGATGGGGTGGTAGAATGGAAAGAGGACTGAAACCTAGCAAAGGGAGAAAAATGTATTGCTCTTTTTTTTTTTAATTCTGGAAAAGTTATGCATGCAATTAGGATTTCTGTGCTTGTGGAGCCTGTTTAAAAAGTCAACATATTATTTAGTTGAGGAATACTGTTTAAGAGTTATGCTTGCATCTTCATACTTATATGTATCAGTACATACATGTACATGCAAGTAGAGTTTTCAGAGCCAATTAATTTGAATACATTTGCAAGTCTTATGAACTAAAAAAAAGCATCTGAAATCCTTTGAACCACCAGGACACCTCCAGAGACATTTAACTGAGAAATAAAATTTGTACATCAGCTATTTCCTGAGTTTTAAGCACAGCGAAAAATTTAGCTAAAAAGTTACAGCGTGAGTTCACTAGAGTGAATTATACAAGCTCTGCAACCTGGAAGATGCTGATCAATGGTCTAATTTAAGTAAAAGTTCTCAGTACAAACTTATTTGTACCTCTATTGATGTATTCTACTAAAATATGATGAGCATAGTCTGCTGATCATGTAAATTGCAATCAACAAAGTTATTGAGCACCTAGAATGAGTAGAGCACAATAGCAGGTCTAAGATGTGTACGGAGAGATCCTTCATGGTTCTGACCTCAACAACTCATAATTTAATTGGAGAGAAAGAACAGATTCATAAAGATTAAACCCTGGAGTAACATACATGACCTCTGTTGACATTTTTGGAAAAGAGATTTTTTTTCCTGAATATTCTATGACATAGACTCTCTCATAAGTAGTGATTATGGGATTATTATTATTTTTTAAATCAATCTTATCTTGAACCCATCGGTTGAGGCTAGAGTGAAGACAAGATGGCATCTCTTTCCTTGGAGTACGTTTTCCCCAAGCATCTGAGTGGGTGACCTTTGTCTTGGTAGGTGTAGATAAGTGGGGTCCTTTGGGCTAGGAGAAAGCTGCCTATTTCATGTGCGTCAGTTAATACACTGGGTGAAGCAATTATCCCCAACTCTCACCCAAGCAAATTGATGAATCCAGGCTGAGCAGAATCAATGCACTGGCATTTGCCAAACACAGATACAGATTAAAACAGAATAAATTAGTTCCTCTCAGTCAGTTATTGCTTAGAGTAGGTGAGCTGAGGAAGAAGAGGTGTTAAGCTATCTCCTGTTTTCAGCTGAAGATGCAAAGGAGTGTAAACAGACAGTGAATAGAAAACTGTAGGTTGGTGGGGAAGGGAGCTCTGTGAGTGGCTCAATTTCTTCCTCTGAATTGTACTCAGAGTAGCACTGACTTATTTGCATATACTGTTCAGAACGTACACTTGTAATTTATTGTCAGATAAAATACAAATACCTGAAGTCTGAGTAACTCTAAATCTGGAGTTTCCAATATGGCGTTACAGACTGTCACCATGGAATAATGGCATTATTTGAAGCTAATACTGTAATTAATTTCTTACCACTATACTCAGCCAATATGGACAATGAGCTGTGCTGTTATCCAGCATAACTTGGCAGAGCGTCTTGCAGCAAAAGAATCCATAATCATGCCTGACAGTCTGTCCAACTGAGAGAGAGGGATGTCTAGAAGATAATATCATTTCAAGGATGGACATAGTATGGTTAATGCTTGGAAGTCATGCTCAGCTAAAGAGACATCTAGACTCTTGGTGTTAATAGTTCAGTTTTATTCCAGTATAGCCGTTCATAAAATAAAGAGTGAGGTATGCTACAGAATAATAATGTGTTGTGAACAAACTAGAATAAATAAAGAAATGCCAACTCGAAGATGGAATATTGTGTTAGTAGGGAAATAATGCAAACTATTTATGATTTTCTTATGATGTTTCATTGACATATGTTGCTTCTAACCCAGTGACAAATTAGTTGGGTAGGTTTAAAAAGAAATGGATACAGCTTAATGAAGAAGGACAGGATATGTAGTACAAGGCAGCTGGTTCTGCTGTTGCTGGCTTATGGAGACAATATACATGGGACAGCTAATGAGTCTCTATTCCATAAGATAGATTCTCTTTATAATAGAATTGCACACTTTGTCTTTAAATGGGGTTATTCTACATACCATTGCACAATGTTTGAAGAGCTTGGTTGGCCCTTGTAGAGGGTTAGGAGAGAAATAAATTGGAAAACAATCATACTTAAGACCTTCAATCATCAAACACTCCATATTTATCTAAATTACTAGCACGTTCTCCCGAAATACAAATTTGTATGATACAGCTAGAATGTTAATGCTGACCAGCCTTCCTGTTGGTTTTATCAGTTAGGTTTTCCACTGTAAGCATAGACCAGAATTCATGTGCACTGAAGCCTGGCAATGCATCCCAACCCTCTTCCCCACCGCCATTCCCTTTCCCTTGGCTCTTCATGCATTCCGTTGTCTTAGTCTCTGAAGTTTCATTTGGTATTCATTCCATCCACCGTGAACACACAGGCATCACTTGTCCTCGGTTGTTTAACTCTCAGAACTTTTTGACTTTGAATACTCAGGCAGTTTTAATGGTAGTTCACTCAGTTTCTTCACTCTTCTCCACGCTCGTGGATCCTCACTGTTCAGTCACTTGGTTATCCTTTAGAATAAATCCATTTCAATTCATTTTACAGCCTTGAAAAAAAGCTGGAAGGGATAGAAGACAGGATAAATGCAACATCATCCACTCTCTGTGTGGCAAGGCTCACTCAGATGATGTAGGTCAGGAGATGGAGGAGTTGAATCATGCTCTTACCTCTAACATTCTCCAACCTCTCTTTGAACCTCATTTCACCAACTGGCTTGATTCTTCTATTGATGTTATGATGTAGTCTTTAGCAATGTAGCTGAATTTGAACCAGATTTTTTCAGTTATAACACATCTTCAAGTACCGTAGGAAGTATCGCATGGGAAAAGTGATTCTTGAGTATATCCTGACTAGGTTTTTGACTTGTCAAGGGAATTTGGACACACCATTCACTCCTGTTGACCTTGGGATTCTCACCTATGAAGTGAGGTAACAATATTTGCTTCTTCTAGCCTGTCTTCTCTGTAGCTCTCTCCTCCCTACCCTCTAAGAGCAATTGAAAAGAATTCTGCCTGTGAAACATTTCAAAGTTCTTGGAGTAAGATGATCTTTTCATTTTAAGACATTATTATACCCCAAACAAGATTGCTTCCTCTTACATTGTGGGTTCTTTACTTTTCATGTGTACCTGTACTTTGGTACAGAGAAAGGTGAGCTGAAAGAAATGGACAAAACGGTTTCATGGGCTTTGCCACATATTTATTACCCTCTCCAAACTGAATCTTGAAGCTTTGTCAGAAGCATTATTCTTCCAACAGAGCAGACGTTAAGTGGCTATAGAAAATAAACTCACCTCCTGATATCTTTCTCATTGCTTGCTGTATCCATTTACTGTGAAGATTATATTGTAAGGTGTGACAGGAGGTGTGGAACAGCAAAGGAAAATCACCACTTTGTAATTCTGTTTGTTCAGGTTTTCTTCTTTTGCGTGAGCTTTTGGTTTTCCTTGTCATTTCTGGAATTATTTCTTCAATGGAGAGTATTATTTTTATTTGTTTCTCCACAAGCTGATTTCATTCAACTAATTTGTAAGTTGCACACACTCCTTTGTAAATAGAGTTATAGTATTTGTAATAAAATTTCTATAATTCAGCCAGGGAAAAGGGAAAACTACAACAAATGATAATAGTTGCTGTTGCTGTTGTTAGATGCTGTCGAGTCAGTTCAACTTATAGTGACCCTATGGACAACAGAACGTAAGTCTATCTGTGCTACACCACCCTTACAACTGTTGCTATGTTTCAGCCCATTGTTGTAGCCACTGTGTCAGTCCACCTCGCTGAGGGTCTTCCTCTTTTTGGCTGACCCTCTACCAAGCATGATGTCCTTCTTCAGGGACTGGTCCCTCCTGATAACATGTCCAAAGTATGTGAGACAAAGTCTTGCCATCCTAGCTTCTAGGGAGCATTCTGACTGTACTTCTTTCAAGACGGATTTATTTGTTCTTCTGGCAGTCCGATAGCTAGTTAATGAATTTTCTTTTACCTATTTTTTATGACTTCTGTGTTCTCTGGCAAAATCAGATTATTTGATGACAAGACTAAGAATACTTAGCTCTAGGTAAAAATTAATTTGCATTTGACTGGATGTTTCATTTAATGAGAGGGCTTGTACTGATCATATTTTGTTCCTTTAACATAATTGCCTTAAGGAAATAAATACATACAGAGGCAAATGAGTAGACACTAGTCTTTATCAATGTTTGTTCGAATTATTGCAGTTTAGGGAGATGGGAATCTAGAATTGAGACAGCTTAGAAATAAATCTTTGCTTGTATGTGGTATCTTTAGTTCAAGGACCTGAAAACCCATTGCAAGCAATTAAACTTAAGGGTATAAATGGGAATTCCATGTCACTTATTGGTTATTGGTTAAGTTAAGGTTTGGGCTCCTAGGAAGTCCTGCTTTTATTTCTATAAATTCACATGTCCTAGTTTCCCTGGACTTTACCTACCCCTCAAACCATGTCAGATCTCTTCCCATGTCATGTTTCCTAAAAGACTCACTTTCTTTACTTCCTCATTCTGATTTGTTCTTTAACTGATTATGACTTTTTTCCTCAAAATGTTACTGCAACTTTTCGGACTGAGGTCAGCAGTGACATCCTAGTAACTCACCCCAGTGACTATTTTTCCATCCTTCTCCTGTTTCTTCTCTTTACCAAGTTGATGTCACTGACCACTTAAATCATTCCTCCCTAGGCCCTTGGTATGGGTTGGTGTGATGAATGATGGCGTGCATCCGCAAATGAACATAAGCAGTGTGAGCTGTGAAGTACGTAGGATGGCGCCAACCATCCTGACCGTGCTGTTAAAGGCATGTTCTTTGCTTGGATATAACTGTTTACCCCTCCCCAATCCCTTTCTACAGGAAAAAGAGAAACTGTATGTGGAACTAAAGCACATCTTGGCCCGGCAGCCAGGGCCTGAGGCTGCAGAACAGCTACAGCTCTACCGACATACGCTGCGGGAGAAGACCAAGCAGCTTAAAGTAAGTGGTGACTTCTGTTCTTTCCTGGCTAAAGAAAGGCCTCACTCTGGGGAACACACCCAGACAAGCACAGTGAGCCAGCCTCTCAAATGCCGCACTCCACGGAGGTCAGTTTCTTTAGAACTCTAGACCCAGGAGGAGCAGGCAGATCTCACGCTTCCCTTCTCCTCCTAGACTGGTAGCTTCCATGAGTCTCCATTTCCAGAAAGAGAGCCAGGTGAGCAAGTGAGACAAGAGTTGGAGAAAGGATGATGGCAATGGAATAAAAATTTAGGGATAGGGTTTGCACAGGTGATCTCAAGGTGATTTAGAGGACTTGGATGGTGGGAAGGAGCAGAGGAAATGTTTTAACACCATCGCCAAACAGAAGCAGACCACGGTGCTAAAGGAGGTTTGTTATTCTATTCCACTTGAAAAAAATGTACACAAAACATAGCCTATTCCCCAGCCCCCGGGGCCTTGTTTAATTATCGTATATTAAATAAGTAGCCCCAAAAGGTAAATAAAATCAAGAATTTTGTTAGCATAACTAACTGATGCAAGAATGTCAGTTGGGTGGTGGGGTGGTTTACCATTGCACATATCTCTTTAAAGTCTTCTCAAAAACTGTGTGTTCATGCTGTATTTTGAGCTTTACGGTCTAAGTGAGTACTTAGACATTCTTGGCTTGTCAGGGAAGTCTTAGGCACACATCCACAGAATGCAGCACATGCCGGCTGAATTTTGGTACTCACCTGTGCAATGAAGGTAGTAATCCTTGCCCTTCTGCCTCAGGTAAAATGGATGCCATGTTAACTAGTATAGTACTAACCCCTTCGTAAATAGGACTTTGTAAAAGCGTGTCATTTTCCTTTAAAAAGGCAGATGAGACAGAAGTCTAATTAGAATATTAATTTTCAACTTATTAGTCTAAGTGTTCATTTCACATGAGCATCCTGAGCCATAATTCGAGTTTTGCATAAGACATAATCTTTTGATTATTTTTGTTCCCTGAAAAGATGGAATACTTCAAACAAAATAAAAACTTATTTTCTATTTTCCTCAGGGATGGGTATAGATTAGAAAAACACGTCTGTCTTTGCACTATTGACAGACACCACACCTTCTCTAGGTTGTATTGAATAGCACACAAGAGCACTTTGTTATTTTAACCATTTATCTCTGGAAATCCAGCTTCTTGCTCTGAATGAAATGTGACACCTCATAGAAAAGGTGCAGAGGTGGGCGGCACCAAGCAAGTCTGCCAGTTTGTCTTCAGTATTTAGACTGTTTTCCCGGCTCCGTATTCATTGCTTGGAAACAGGGTCTTTGTCCTTAAGAGTTTAACTATTGAGACAGGTTTTCTTCCGATGTCAAAATCATATTATTTAACTCATAATATCATAGTCAGAGTCGTTTTCACAGCAATTAAGAAGAAAGAGTTCATAAGCAGATGGGCACTCAAGAGGCAAAGATCCCCCTTTCATACAAATCTTTAAAATAGAGATCAAGAGGAAAAAGAAATAGTCTGTTTCATGCCCCATAGAACAGCGGCCTTGCTTTTCTCCCCTTGGTTTTGGTGAGGAGCACACCCTAGCTTTGGCAGGCTTCTTGCCCGGTCTGGGACCAGTAGCGTCTTTTGGACACACCCATGGAAGGAGGCAGATAATCAGGCTTTTTATTCCAGCTCTGCACGTGTGCTAGGCTCTCCTAAGCACGTGTCAGAACTCCCTGATTCTTACAGGTAAGTGTCCTAGTGCTCGGATAAAGAATAGGCTTGCGAACGGTCTCAAAGAACACAATAAAGAGGTGATGGACATTTAGTAGGACAGCGACCTTGGAAAACACATGAACTGAATGCCTAGTTAACGGTGGTGTCAGGAGGATTCCACCATAGTTTTTACCACAATTCTCAGATGAATCACACTCCTTAGTGATGTTTTTCTTGAATGCTTTTTTTTTTTTTTTTAAAGTTTTAAAAGCAATATTATACTGTTTGGGAGTTTTCCTGTCTCTACTCACAATATTCTTTGAAACACAGTACACCGTTGATTGGTGAGCCTGTTTGAATGCTGCTGATGGCTCTCCTTTTAAGCAGGGGAATGATGTTTCACTTTAAGTTCATCACCTGATTATGAGTCTTCAGCCCTCAGCCAGGTGTTCACCCCCGGATAGGGACCTTGAGCTGGTGGAAGCGGGCAGATTAACTGTTAAACCCAGGCATGGCTTTGCATCTCTAGCTCCACTGAGGTAATGAGAAAACAATGATCAAAGAAAAATTTTGGAAAAGGATATTGTCTGAGTATTTTATGTTAATGCTGCCTTATTTGCAATGTTAGGTTTTGTCTTCAGAATTGAATATGTATGAATCACAGAGCCAAGAATATAAGTATGAGATTGAGAGACTCGCCAATGAACTCATGAATATCAAGAAGAAATACCTCGCTCAGAAACGTAAAGAACAAATTCAGAAGTAAGAATTATTCAAATGTTCTCATTTTGTTATGCCTGTTACCTGCTGATAAGAAAATATTTGGCAGTCACAGTCACAGAGTTGCAGATTTCATTGCAGTAAACGAAGTCATAAGGAGTCCTGGTGGCACAAAGGTTAAGTGCTCAGCTGCTGACCAAAAGGTCAGCAGTTGGAACCTAGCGGCTCCATGGGAGAAAGACCTGGCAATCTGTTCCCGTAAAGATTACAGCCTAGGAGACCCTGTGGGGCGGTTCTACTCTGTCCTATAGGGTCACTATGAGTCAGAATTGACTTGACAGCACCGAACAACAAAAACAGCAAACTAAGTCACAGGGCCAGAGCAAGATCAATGTCTTATGTAATACTGAGGCCCCTCTTTAGGGCCCTAACAGGGATCTATTAGCATGGGCCTAACACAGAGGAGAGGAAACTTAATGTAGTTTTCTCCCACTGTTCTCACGTTTTGGAGATAGTCTTGCCATGACTGTTTGCAAATGAGGTGCTAAATCAGCCTTGTAGAAACTGAAGCAAATTCACATTTAAAACCACCTGTAATTTTGTTAAGGAGGCAGGGCTTCCTGAAACTGTTCTTCTAATAATGCAGCCGTATACTGTAATTATGAGCAGTTCACAAATGGTTTCCACCTACATTTGAGATAAGCTATCTCCGAACCATCTCTGTTTCTGGTAACTGACTTCACTATCTCCTGTGGGGTGTTGACATGAGTACTTAACTTCTAGGAAATGATAATGCAGGTGTCAGACTAACATTTTCATTTGTCTGATCTGAGGTTGAGAGAAATCAAAAAAACCCATTGCAGTTGAGTCGCTTAGACTCATAGCGACCCTATAGGACAGAGTAGAACTGCCCCATAGAGTTTCCAAGGAGCTCCTGGTGGATTGGAACTGCCAGCCTTTCGTTTAGCAGCTGTAGCACTTAACCACTACGCCACCAGGGCTTCCAGGCTGAGAGAAGGGTGACCAAATGAATCAGCAGATTTGAAACTTGTTTGGCTGTGTGGCCAAAACCATCTGGTTAATTCTCTAATGACTCCAGTTATGGGCTGAAGATCATGTTTGGTATAGTTGTCCCTTGGTATCCGTGGGCATTGGTTCCAGGACCCCCGCGGATACCAGGATCTTCGGCTGCTCAAGTCCCTTATAAAAATGGCGTAGTGTTTGCATGTAACTTACGCACATCCTCCTGTACACTTTAAATCATCTCTAGATTACTTATAATACCTAAAACAATGTAAATGCTATATAAATAATTGTTATACTGCACTGTTTAGGGAATAATGACAAGAAGAAAAATGTCTGTACATGTTTAGTACAGACACAACCATCGTAAGCCTAACTACATAGTACACATCAGCAACAACGTAACTCTTTTTTTCCGACTTATTTTCCATCCATGGTTGGTTGAATCCGTGGATGCGGAACCTGCGGATAAGGAGGGCTAACTGTATTTCATCTACCTGGACATTTCAGGACATGGTGTGAGATGGTTTGAATGCATCTGTCTATGATTCTTTGGTGGAAAACAGCTATATAAAGTAACTGGATACTAACTCATTTGCCAGTAAAAGTCTGCCCTTTTTGTAAATCAGAACATTCCTCCATTCCACGTTTAGATGCCAGTTCCTTAGTGGAATAAAATCCTGTGATAATTTTAGGTAAACTTTTATTTTAGAGTAGTTTTAGATTTACCCCCGATATATTTTAACTTACAAACTATATGCAAATACTGTTATCAATTTGTGAGTAACTTTTCTTAGCTGCCATCAAGTCAGCTCCAACTCATGGCGGCCTTATGTATAACAGAACTAAATATTGCCTGGTTCTGTGCCATCTGCATGATTGTTTGCATGTTTGAGTCCATTGTTGTGACTATTGTGTCAATCCATCTCATTAACAGTTTCCCTCATTTTCGCTGGCCCTCTACTCTACTGACATGATGTCCTTTTCTAGCGATTGGTCTTTCCTGATGATGTGTCCAAAGTAAGTGAGCCAAAGTCTCACCATCCTCGCTTCTAAGGAACATTCTGGTTGTATTTCTGTTGTAACTATTAGTAAAGCATAGTTTTAATTTTTAAAGACAAAATTATAAATAGAATCTAATATATTCTTTCCACCCCAGTGGATCATCTCACTTACCTTCTAGAGTTCATGTACTCCATTTTGGACACCATTGGTCTAGTTTCCACAGTTACAAACATTTACCTTGGCTCACCCATTAATTATCTTTCTACAGCTGGTTAACTTTTCTGCCTTGGCTCTGGGGTTGGCCTAGCCTCCTTAGACCTTGCTGATCCTCAGTAGTTTGCTGGACACAGACTGTGATGAGCCTCCACTCTGTCCCCATGGCTCATCCTCTGGAACTGCTCTTGCACCCCACCCGCCACCACATGCCACTACTTGTGGCTATTCAAATGTAAATGAATTACAATTAAATCAAATTAAAAATTCATTTCCTCAGTTACACCAACCGAATTTCAAATGCCTGACAGCCATGTGTCACCACGGCATCGGGTAGCGCAGATATAGGACATTTCCATCATAATGGATAGTGCTGCTCTAGAATCTTGGCCTTACCTGTCCTCTTCTTGCCCTTTAATGCTCATTGCTTGCAGCCAGTCTGACCTGGTTAGGGTTTCCTAGGTGGTTCCGTTTAGTTGGGGATCCATAAACGGGAGGTAGACAGAGAGATGAGTTCATAGGAGAATAGCAAACATGATTAACGAGCTGAACAGAAAGATGCAGAGGCAAGAACAAAAGTGCTGAGGTGGTTTAGACTGAAGGGAGTCATTATAATGGCCTATAAATACATTGAAAAGATAATATAAAGGAGACATTATTCCCATTAGTCAGCTTAGACCAAGCCAGAAGCATTAAGCTTAAGTTGTTCCTTCAGAAAGGAAAATTTAGGTTATTTAAGGCAAGAGTGGGCAGGGGGGAGGGGTAGCAGTGCCTGCATCTAACAACAGTCAGGAGCCAGACAAGTTGCCAAAGTACATGAAGGAATCCTCTTTACTGGATCCACTCAAGGCTAAGCTTTTGTCCTATTTATGGAGGATGGTTTTTTATAATAATGAAATCAATTCTGCTAAGAGACAGCTGGATTGATTAACCAACCCTCTACAGGTTCTTTCCAAATGGAATAATTTAGAATAATCTCTGTGGATGTTCTCCCCACACATGCCCTTTATAAAATAGCAACTCTTATCATTTTTACTGTTTTGCCTTTTTTTTTTTTTTCCAAATACCCTTTTCATCAGGAACGGGTCCCAGTCTGCACCCCACCTGCCCCCAAATCCCCTACTTAGACTGGTCTCAAGTCTGCAGTACCAGATTCTTTACCCAAAGGTGGCATTCAGTCCCCTAGAGTAAATCATTCATTGTCCTCAAATACAGTTGCTTTTGGTCTTAGCCGTTTGCTTTTTACTTTTTAAAAGGGACTTCACAGATGTTTTCCATAGGACCCCTAATTACACAATAGATAGCTTGTGTAAATCTGAGGTACCTCTGCAGGAAACCTAATGTGTGTGTGTGTGTGTTTGTGTGTGTGTGTATTTAAAGGACATCTATATAGAAGATGTATTGTAGATTTTAGGATAAAAATTCCCTCTGTTGTCAAATATACTATCTTATTTGTCTTTCCCATATTTTCTTGTATCTTAAACTGTTTCTAGTAATAAATGCTGCTTGTTTAAAGTTACACTACTTTGTAAATTTCCAGGTTTGATGAAGATACTTTGTGTATGGTAAGTATAAGTTTCCACAGGAACTTTGGAATATAAAACGTTGGTAAATTAGTCTTTATAATTGAGCTAAGAGAAAGATGCTTCTGACTGATCTTTGGGAATAAATAAATATTTTATAAAACAGGAAGATGATTACAAGTTAGAAGGCACCAAGTTCACGGTGTTTGAGTTATAATGAGGTCTTCTGTCCATATTTAGATCAGCAGTAGGAGGGCAGACTTAATTGTGTCTTTCCCTAGTTCTACATGTTATAGTGAATACCTAATGAGATTTCAGCAACTACCTTGCCTGAAACTAGCAGCTTTAATCAAAGCAGTTTTCAGTGGCTAACTCACCCTAGGAACTTAGAGAACATCAAATTTAAAAGAGGAAAACGACATTAAGGAAACTAACTTTCTTTCCCTCTCTTACAGAAACAAGGACAGAATACCCGTGGATAACATCTTCTCCATGGTTAAACCAACTGTCCCTCGTTTTACGGGGGGCGGATTTCCCCTCAATAGGTCCTCCAAGGTGAAGTCCTAACCTGAAGCCCCTGCCTGGGTCCAGTTGAACAGGTCATGAAATTTGCTCTGGAACGTTTTGGAGGAACCTCTTTCAAAATCTTTTGGATCACAGATTTTTTTTTAGGAAAATCAGTGCTCATATTCCAGGATGGAAAGAAATGCAGAACTATCATAGTACATGTAAGAGTGATAAAGTTTTACTCTGTCCATGTGGATATCAACAGATTGTAATTATATCTATTCAATTAGGCTGACCCATTGCATGAAGCAGATCTTTTGTTACTACCATGCTGAGTGATTTGAAATGCACCAGATCTAGACACTTCATATGGATGAAGCTTTGGATATTAATTTCTCTATTACAGACATTGGTACACTAAAGCTTTTATATTAAAAAAAGTTTTTGAAATGCAGTGCATCCCCTCTAACCTTATTGATAATCAACTATTTTAATTATTCCTCATTAACAAGTCATTGCATTAGATAAGAAAGAAGGACAAACTCTTAAGTATTTAAAATGTGTTTTGAGAATGATTTCTATGTGGCCTGGGTAGGAAAATCTATTCCAAAAGAGACAACTAATAAATACTTCATCATAAAAAATAAAAAAGAAACTTCATAGAGATTTTGATCTTTGCTTTGGTAGAGTATGTAATTAAAGCTTAAACTGTGAGAAATGTTTAACATAAGCATTTGATGCAGAGGAACCTTGTCTATAAAATTAGGAGTTCTGGCTGGTATCCTCCAAAGGCCAGCATTTTGAGCCATTGAATCCACTGGGTTTTCTTTTTGTTGAAGCCACAGTTACTTGGGCATCAGTTCAACGTTATTTTATTTCGAGTGTTTATTCAGTTATATTATGTGAGAATACTCTAACCATCTCTGTCTTACAGTAGCTCAGCCTACAGTGTTTTTAAATAACTAAGGAGTAAGTAGCTCAGGGATGAACAAGGACAATATAAGTGGATTGTTAAAACATTCTAGTTGTGCTAAGGTACCAAGATTCCCACTGTGAAGAGCAGGAGTGATAAAGATCTGAGATGTTTGTTCAAATCATTCAGGGAGGTGGGACTTCAGAGTGGTCTTCTGGATGTTCTGCTGCCCCTCTCAGTCCACCAAGGGCCAGTGATGAACGATGAACAAGAAGGTGATTTGTTATGAAGTGATCCCAGGAAAACGAATAAGAGTGAGGAAGTGGGTTAGGGAAGGAAAGGAGGTCAAGCAAGGGTGTACTATCATGCCAACTTCTGAGGATGGAAACTTCGGCTCCATCCTGTAGGGGAGTGTAATCACATCTCAGAGTCGTTCCCATCAGGAGTGAGGGAACTGGGATATTTGTATCCCCCATGCTGTCAGTCATTGGTCAAGGGCAGCTCTGGAGGGGACACTTCTGGCTCTCCTTGCCTGCAGGCAAAGCAGGTTCTGGCTACCTGGCGGCAGCCCTTGGACAAAAAGACTGTAGATGTTGACTGCTGGAAGTGAAAATAGCTGAGGGCTTAGGAAGAAATGGACAGGCAGTGAAATCCTCTGTTGCATCTCCCAAATTGGCCTGGTGAGACAGAACGCCTACAGATGGAAATCAACCTTCAGTGTAGCTGGCAACACTGTGTTGAGGTATGACCATCAGCTCTTTGGACACCATATAGGGAAGATGGAGGTATGGTATGAACCGTAGATAATTTACCTCAAAAAAAAAAAAAAAAAAAGTTGCCATTGAGTCGATTCCAACTCATAGAGACCCCATAGGACAGAGTAGAACTGCCCCATAGAGTTTCCAAAAAAGCCTGGTGGATTCAAACTGCCCACCTTTTGGTTAGCAGCCATAGCTCCTAACCACTATGCCACCATGGTTTCCGATAATTTACCTAGAGGATTTTAAATTTAAAGAACCACATCGGGCTATTTCTATTTTTGACAATCACTGACGATATCTTCCCCCAGAGGCAACTATATTCTCTTTAGACAAAAGATTTTACAGATAAGACAGAACAGTTACAACACTGAAGATTTTCCTGCTCCTCCAGGGACATTTTGAAGCGTAGCTAGGGTTCACTTCCTCCTAAATCCTTGGGTGGCTTTATAAGAGGTTCAATTCTGCAGAGAAGTGGGGTCCATGACTTTTGATTTATCTCCGTGTGGCATAGTGACCCTGAGCAAGGGTTCTGGAGACAGATGCTGGGTTCGGATCTTGGCTCATTACAACAATGGGTTGCAGTGAAGATTAAAGAGTTAATGCATATTAACATGGTTAGAACAATACCAGGCACGTAGTCATTGTTCAAAAAACATTGCCTTACTATGACTAAATACGATGCCTAATGTTTTGATAGTAGAAAGTAAAAGTTGCCCCACAGCACTTGATTATTTCATCAACTATAAAAGTGATTCTAATCCTCGTTTAGAGGGATGGCAGTCAAGTCCAGATAAAGCTGAATTTGGTAATGTAATTTATAATTGAATATCTTGCAGAAATGCCACATTGGGTGCTTCACAGGCGCTTCTGTATATTTTTCTTACAGTTGTGATCTGGGCACTATTTGACCCTTCACCTTCAGAAGTCATCAGTTTCAGTCTTTCTCCATTCACCAGAGGGAGAGACCCTGGTGTCCTTTAGCTGCCGTTTTCTTCCTGTTTTTCTCCGTGTAGCGGAGCATCTGGCCTGCCTCTGCTGATGACAAGGGGTCCCATGAGCTGGAATCGTGGAGGGCTCTGGGAACTGACACAGCCGCTCTATTAGGCTCAGTAGGCTTACGTTCAATTGGAAGAGGAGGCAATTAAGGCTAGAAAAGGTGGACGACAGTGTTGCTGCTGCTCATTTACTGAACATCCTGACAGCCCTGGGTATTATAAGCAATACCTATTTAGGTGCAGGTGTTACCACTATAGCCAAAGCACAAAAATGAGCTGTTAAAAACACTTGAGATTTGCAAATCATTAAAGATAACTGTGAACTCACAGTGGGCCGAGGCGCTTTTAAAAATCACAAATCTGAGCTGCATTGTAAAGCAACATTAGGAGATCGTACAGTAGCATAATTTTACCCTGGGGTTTTCAGAGCTTCCAAAAAGACTCACGCTGCTAAACCCTCCGCCGACTCCCGACTGAACTGCCGGGGAGCTGGTATAGCGTCTCTGTGATAGAGACGCGATAAAGGGGAATCCCTGGTCGTTCTTTGCTGATGATAGCTTCTCAGCAACTGCTCCTATAGCCCAGCGTTTACTGTGCTTTCCTTTGAAGGATTGCTCAGAGCAAAGGTTTGTTACTGGGATAAGCCGGAGGCAGTGGTAGTCGTGCTAAGAGGAGATGGCAGCGACTCTCCTTGGCATGAGCTGTAATTTTGCTATAAAAATTTATCCAGGGTTGATAATTATTGTCTGATTTTCTGACTTGCTCAGCCAGATTCTGAAGTTTGACTTAGGCCAAGATACCCATCAGAAAATACCATACAATGAATTATGAGCAGTTAACGGCATTTCAGAGCCTGGACAATTTGAGGAAAGATAGTACTTTCTCAAATATAATCAATTATGTGGTGATCTGGTTGGGATAGGAGCATTTTAAAATATTAAAGTGGTAAAATTATTTAAAATATATATTTCACTATTTTCTTTGTAGTAGATGGGAAATATTTTTATAGCATTATCCATTTTTAACTTCTAATTCAATGCTCTTTTAGTATACCATTTCTCATATCTATTATTTAAAGGTTCCATTAGGGTTTTGAGACCCATTGGAATTTTATAACAGTGTGAAATGTGATATCAACAGGATTACATTTTTCATAATTAAAAATAGATTTTTTTTTCTTATTTTAAAGTACCTGATCATTATAGAAAATTAGAAAATACAGATAAGTGAAAAAGAAGATAAAGGGCATCAGTAATCTTACCACCCACTGATAATGATTGTCTTCCTGGGCGAACACTAGTCTCATTCACGCGGTTGATTGTACTGGTTATTCAAGCCCACCGTTTGTTCTGATTGGTTGGTGCTTGTGCTAAGTGCTTACCAGTTGTTAAATATTTTGAATATCACCTTTGAAATACTAAAGTTTTTTACTTTTGAGTATATCTTCCTGAATCTTTAAAAATAAGTATATACATGTATATTCCCTTTTAAAAATCAGCTTTATTGAGATATAGTTTACATACAATAAAAACACATTTTAAGCATACAGTTTGGTAAGTATTGACAAATGCATATACCCAAGTAACTTCTGCCACAATCATCACGCTCCAGAATTCCCTATGCCCCTTTGCAGTCAATCTTACTTGCCGCTGTTGGGTTCCAAGCAACCATGATTCTGCTTGCTATCACCATAGGTTAGTTTTGTCTTTTCTAGAATTTCACATAAAAGGAATCATATATTATGTACTCTTTCGTGCCTGGCTTTTTTTTCACTTAGCGTAATGTTTTGGCGATTCTTCAGTGTTGTGTGTTTTAGTAGTTAACATTCATTTTTATTGCTGAGTAATATTCCATTATATGGAAGTAACACAATGTGCTTATTGATTCACCTGCTCATGTGCATTTGGGTTGTTTCTAGTTTTTAGCTATTATGAAGAAAGTTGAACATTTATGTACAAGTCTTTAGGTGGACATATAAATTCTCTTGGGTAAATACTTAGGAGTGGAATTGCTAGATCAGAGGGTAAGTGTATGTATGTTTAACTTGGTAAGAAACTGCCAAACTCTTTACCAGACTAATTGTACCATTTTATATTCCTACTAACAATGTGTGTGAATTCCAATTGCTCCATATCCTTGCCAACATTTGGTAGTGTCAGTTTTTGTTTTTTTTTTTTTGAAGTCCTTCTAGTTGGTATATAGTGATACCTCACTGTGGTTTTAAATTTGTGTTTCCTGATGGCTAACAATTTTGAACATCTTTTCATGTGTATTTTGGTCATTCAGTGGTCTTATTTTGTGAAGTGTCTTCAAATCTTTCGTTGTTTTTTTTTTTTTTTTTTTTTTTAGTATTGTTAGTTTTCTTACGTTGTAAATATTCTTTGTGGGTTT